TGCACTGTCTGACGCTTCTGCCTCCGCTACCCGAAAGGAAAAGCGGTCAAGGAAGATGAAGATGCATGCTAACTCCGCTGTTCTCGGGTGCAAACCCAGATGAGAAATGAGGTGAATTGGGGACCTTCGTGATGTCTCCCGTAAAATTTTGCGACGTGTCCCACATGGTATTGCCGTTATTCAAAGTCACGCCAGCTCAGTCGCTCGGGACTGTTGGAGAACTGAGGCGGGCTGGCGTAAAGTGGGCGATCAGAGCTTGTTTCTCACCCTCTGGCACCTCAGACCGTAGCAGCACAGCGAAGATTGGTAAGAATACGACGCATTTAGCAGTCGGCAATGGAGTCGCTACCCGTTTTGAACGGAGGAGCCAAACAATGCGATACCATTATCGCACGTCAGATGAAGTTCTACGGCAAAGATACTGACAGTGAAAGCTAAAAGTCTGAACATGCAAGATTCAAAGGGAAGGATTCATTCAAAAGGAAATAGCAGGAACTAGTTGACGAGGCTCCTTCGTACCGCTTCATCATGGATTCTCATCAACAAAGTTCCAGGGGTATGGAATTCTGAATCGCTGCGGGTGGAAGCTATTCTGTTCAGGTTCAGGTGTCGACATCACGACACGCGCTCATGACGGTGTTAGTGTTCTGATAAAACCAAACCTGGCCGACACAGTCATTGAATAGAAGCCTGTCAGGGTAAGTGTGACAATCCTCTGACTGAAGTTACAACAAACTAAAGCGTTAATCTTGTTACAGCTCTAAGCTACCAATCTGGAGGAAGAATATGAGACTTTCCTTGAGGTAGTGCAGGGTGCTCTGTCCGAAGTGTCGAATACAGAGTCCCTCATACTGATGGGCGGTTTTAATGCGCACGTCGGAGTAGACGCTGAGAAGTGGAACGGCGTGATTGGGAAAAACAGCCCTAGCCACCTCAACAATAACGGCATGAAGTTGTTGCGGTTTTGTGCAAACAACGGATTGTCCATTATAAACACCTTCTTCGAGCATCAAAAAGTGCATCAGTATACCTGGTACCGGGAAGCTTGTGCACTGAAGTCGATGATCGATTTGATAATTGTATCGTCTGACCTAAGACGCTCAGTAATGGATGTTCGTGTTAAA